AATTCTGGCTCTGCCCTATCCAGTTAATAGGGCAAAATGACATAACCGTATCACCATAATATGAGACAATGCCCAATACATAGCAAGTAATCGATAAATTGTAGCTTTTCTAAATTATTATTATTATTATTATCATCATCATCATCAAGGTTTTGCTGTACTAAATCTTACATTATTATAAAGAGAAAGGGGAACAGCTTCCCTGGGAAATAAGAGGTCTAAGAAACAAAGACCCAGGGGGACTTTTAGGATGGTGCTCTCGGATTCTGGTGGGTTCTGGCAGATTAACATCAGGGAGGTTATTGCAAAGACCTTACCTGTAGTGGGATAACACCGGTGTTAACAAGCTAATCTTTGGAACAGGGACCAGAGTGAGTGTCCAGCCAAGTAAGTAGAGTGGGGCAAGGGTGGACATTGACAACTAATTCTTCTTTGTTTAAGATGCTGAGTTGAGCCCAGGTATTTTCTTCTATAGGATCCCAAATGGTTCTTTCCACTCATCTCTCAAATATCCTCCGGTCTAGCCCTCAGTGCTCCAGAAACATGCTTAGGCTGGGACCTTAAGAATCATGAGGCAGGTATGAGTAAGTAGTCCTGGACCTTCCATGAGAGGATCCAAGATACTCCTGCCCTGAGCAGGGGGTTCTGCTCTACTAAATCACAACCTCCATCCCAGGGCATGACGGCAGGATGGGGCAGGAGGAAAGGACTGAACACACCAGAGACAAAATCTCAACACAAAAGAGCAGAAGGTCTAACTCTACATAGTGTGATTCTCCAGTCCTTGTGGGAAACCAGTGCTGCTTCTACTAAAATGGGAGATAGGGCCAGGGAGTTTCTGTAGTGGTGTCACCTGCAGTGTGAATCTGGAGGAGTGGCTGGTAAACTCACATTTGGGAAGGGAACCCAAGTGTCCATAATATCTGGTGAGTCATCCCAGTTGGCACCCCATTTGAAACCCCATCGGCCAGTGCCAGTAATCCTTCCCCTTGGGGCCTTGGTGATGACTATGGTGAGGCCAACTGTGGGTGTTATGACTAATTGTCTTACAGAGGCCTCTTCCATGTAGCCATGTGAAGGGAGAAGGCATCATTATCAATCTTCAAAATCTCTGTTTCTCTAGGTCAAACACATTAAAATTTAATTGTGGATATTTGTAAATGCCTTCCATGTGGCCATCACTCTATAAAATGTTAAACTGTGTATGAGGAAGTCAAAGATACATTCATGACCTGTCCCCAAATAGTATAAAAACTAGTGAAAGGGACAGAACTATTGTAAATTCAGCAACCTAAAGACTATTTCAATATTAACCAATTGATGATGTCAACAGGCACATTAGAGATTCAGAGGAAGAGGGCTCTGGCTGGAAAGTTGGCCTAGATGGAGAAGGTTTTATGCAGTGGAAAGGGTTCATTGAGCCGGAAAGATAAAGAAGATCAGTATGAACAAAGAAAGGAGAGAGGGGGTTCCAGGCACAAAGAAAACAGGAAAGAAGGCATGGTCTTGAGAATTAAATAAAGCACATGCATTTTGGCATAAGTAAACACGTCTGTTACTAAAGTTGGATGGAGAGAAAGGCAAAGGAATGAAGAAAAGGAATCCTAGAGCCTTCGAGAAAATACGGTCAAGGCCGTGGCCAGCCACTGGGAAACTGGGAACCCAGTTTAGAAATGCACACCAGGTGTGAAAGTGAGGGACCAGCTCTTCCCATGGACAGCTCATGGCCTGGGGGCCTCCTCTCTCTTTCCTCAGTGGCTTGTGAAAGGAGTTTCCCCATTCCTCAGGGGAGGAGAAACCTAACGGTTTCTGTAATGGAGATACTGAGAGTGGTATGACAGGGCTGCCTCAGGGCTGCAATTTGGCAAAGGCACCAGAGTTTCCGTTATTCCGGGTAAGTCTTCCCAGGAAGTGCTACTGCTTCTGACGCTCACAGGGCCTCAGCGGGACCCGGGGTCAGTTTCTCTAACTCACGTTTCTGGCTTCCTAGTGTCTAACTGCAAAGCACAGATTTAGTGGTAAGGGAGCTTTCAATCACTGCTGTGCCCCTGGGGACCTAAAGCACTAGAGCATTGGGACACGTGCTTTTGTGGTTAGTTTTGAATTAAAATAAAAGGTTAGGATGTAGAATAGCTGAACTTCCACAGTGCAAAGTTGATCCAGGCTGGCTAAATCTACCTTTGGAGATATCACCTGTGGTAAGACATGTTTATCTTGCTAGAGTAGAACAGGACGCTTTTTCCCCCAGGGCAGATCAACCCCCTAAAGCCCGCAAAATTAAAAGTGACTTATTGCAAGATAAATTAAAAATTTTTAAGTGACTTTATTGTTTTCAGACAAAAATATTAAGGTTGCGCCAGACGTATGTGGGGGTAAAAGTAAAATGGGGCTAAAAAAAATCTAGTTTTGGGATGAGTACATAGCTCCTTTGACCAAAAAGTCTAACAAGCAGAAATTTTGCAAACCTGATGGTCACTAGCCCATGTATTGATTTAACAGTTGTTTCCTGAGCACCTAGCATGTGGCATATACTAGGGATATGGCAATAAATCAGAGACGGGCCTTTGCTGTTACAGAGCTGACATCCCAGGGAGCCAATGTGAAGAGCTTGGTGCAGCTGTACTCTTTTAGGGCATAGATAGGACTTGGGAGAAGAAATTCAAGATTTGGAAGATCATAGCAGACCCTGAATGCCATGCCAAGAAGTCTGGCCATTATTCCAGACAATAGGGAGTCCCTGGATTATTTAGAAATGAAAGTGACCCAGACAGCTCCATGTTTGGAGGGTGAGCTCAAAGAAGAGATTGAGGTGGGGAGAGGATGACAAAGAGAGGAAATCAGAGGCAGGGAAGCCGGACAGGAGAAACAACAGCAAAAATACAGATAGGGGAGCCCAAAGGGTATCGACTGGTAAAAACAGGATGTGAAAAAAGCTAAAAATCACCGTAATTGTTCTGACTTCATTTATTGCTATTTTATTTTGATCTCTCATTAGCAAAGCTGAGCAATTGGTCTGCCCCTGGTAGTCACCCCTCACAAACTTCAAGATGGCTTTAAGTCTCACACTCAGCCCCTTTTGTCAGCATCAAAGTCTTGGGCTCCGTGGCATTGTTCTCTGGGACTGACGCTATCCAATAGGACTTCCTGTGACAGTGGCAATGTTCTATCAGTCTGCGCCACCCGATACAGCAGCCACCAGCTGCATGTGGCTATTGACCTCTGAAATGAGGTTTTAATTTTTAATTGAATTGTTAAGTTTATTTAATTTTGGTTAACTTTAATTTAAATAGCCACATGTAGCTAAAGACTATCATATTGGACAGCGTGGTCTTGACCTTCTCCAGCCTGATACCCATTGGCTCTAGGACTTAAGTGAATGTTTAACCAGGACTGAAAGTTGGGCATCTGGCTCCCACAGCCATCCTCACTCCCACCTAAGGCGAAGTGCATCTGGTGACACCTTCTTTTTAAGGCCGCATTCTCTCAGTAACTCCACACCCTTCCATGTCCCCCCTCCCAGTCCCGCCCATGACGCCCACTGATGACTAAAAAACCCATTCGGGTGTGTTGGTAATGCTAACGGCTTCCCATCTCTCCCCTCCCAGTAGAAGATTTATGTCATAGGGCCTTAACCCATGATGATGCCAGGCCCCACAATATGTGGAGTTTGGAGGGGAGCCGGCAAAATCCTTCAGGGTCAAAGCTTTGGACGTCCCTTAACGTGACCATGGACCCAGCCCTGCTCTGCCACTCCAGGGGTTGCCCCACCCGCAATTCTGCCTTGACTCAGCATCCCAAGTCCATGCCAAAGGCTGATTTCCGAAGTTTTGGGTCCAGCTGGATGTCTGCATTGCCAAGGCCACCCTGGCTGTCTCAGCAAGTGGGGTGCATCACTAGTCTGAGAAGCCTTGTGTGCGTGGTGAGGAGCTGTGGGAGCAGAGAACCACAGGGGCAGGAAGCTGTAGTTCTAACCCTGCTGTAAACTCTCTGGGTGGCCCCAACGTGTTAATCCTCCCTGCAAACCTCTGCTTCTTCCTCTAAAGGCAGGAGGTCTGAAAGAACAAACAATGAGAGTTACATTAAAACACTAAACCCTGCAGAAATACTGAAAAATGATTCTCGGCATGGAGGGAAAGCCTTCAGCAACTCCTGCTCCATGGGGTGAAGAGTAGAAACTACATGTTATTCGGTAGCACATTATGGTAGCAATATCCTGGTAGTGTCAGTAGCTACATCTACTTACATCTGTTCAATCCTTTACATTTTATTAAATATAATTTTATATGAAGTAACTCTCATTGGTTTCTCAGAAACACCTGGTTAAGAAGGTGGACAAGGCAACAGCTTCATTTTACAAATTAAATTCCTAAGATTTAAGAGGCATTGTGACTTGCTCAAGGCCTGTATCTAGTAAGTGGAGGAGCCAGGGCTTGGACAGAGGTGTCCTGATTTATAGTCCAAAACTTCTGTGGAAGTGAGAAACCTCCTAGCAGTGGGACCCACTTTCTGACTTAGCTCCAGCCTATCAAAAACTTCCGCGTCCTGCCAGTGCCCAGTGTCGGTGTGGGAGACTAAGCTGATTCCAAGTGTGGTTTGCTTTGCTGGGCCTTTTCTCTGTGCTTGTTTGTCCTGCCAGAGCTGTGTTCTTTACCAGACCTACTGAGCTTTTGAAGAAGTTCCCCTTGGGTAGAAGAATGCGCAGTATCATTAAGTGGGCCTTCATTTCTGGTTTCCTTGAGTGGCAGGCAGGGCCTGGCAGAGAGGGTTCACTGAGAGCCTAGCCTCTTGGCTGGGATTCATGGCTTGTGCCTGTCCCTGAGTCCGTCTGTTGCAAGCAGCTGGTTTCTAGAATGTTCTTTCCCATCTAAAGTCTGAGAATGTGACTTGTCAGCCTCACGGAGTCTTGTTCTTGCCCATCACTGGTATCTGGACTCAGACCTGGGTTGGGGTAAGGAGGGAAACAAACATCTGCTCACCCAGATGCTCCTTTTGGCCCACAGATATCAAGAACCCTGACCCCGCCGTGTACCAGCTGAGAAGCCCTAAATCCAGCAACACTTCGGTCTGCCTGTTCACCGATTTTGATTCTAAAATCAATGTGTCACAAAGCCTGAGCTCCACGGTGTTTGGCTCTAACAGCACGGCGCTGGACATGAAGGCCGTGGGTTCCAAGAGCAATGGGGTGCTGCACTGGAGTCAGAGCTCTGACTTCAAATGTAATGAAACCTTTGACGAGAACTTCCACTCCAATTCAGGTGAGTACAGCTCGGTGCCTGAGCAAGCTGAGCCTTCACTGCGGGAGGCCTGGTTTAGCTGGGGCTCACTCAGGCCGATGGTACCTAAATGCCACTGCCTCATCAACTGTCAGCAAAGCCCCCGACCCTCTTGTAACTGGGCACCAGGGAACCCCATCTTGTCAGGCCACCGAGTTTCCTGGGCACAAAGAGATGGGAAGAAGGTGGCAGGAGAAGGAACTGGCCCTCAGTCTCACTCGCCCTGAGGTCCCACCTCCCTGCCTCTGCTTGAGGCTTGCCCCTCACTGCTCTTCCAGGATCCATTCTAATGCCCTTCTCCAAGGTCCCTCCCCTTGTTTCTTTCTCTCTGCCCTATCCTAACCTCACTCAGTCATTCAGTCATTCAACAACCACTCATTGTTCATATACAGCATGCCAGGCACTGGAGTGGAGTAGTAATAAGTTAGGTGAGGGGTCTGCCCTAAGGAAACTTCATTCTAGTTGGGGAAGACCATCTATCAGCAAGAAGAAATGTAGATAACTTCAGATTATAGTAAGTGCTTTAGTTTGGAGTTGAGGAAACAACCACCTTAGGGACAAAAGTCAGGAAAGGGCTCTCTGGGAAACTCTGAGCTGAGATATAAAGGCTAAGAAGGTGCCAAGGGCAGAGAGAGGCCCCTGTGGAGGCCTGAGGCAGGAGCTTAGTGAGAAAGAAGAGCAGTAGGAAACAAAAGGGAAGCAGGCAAGGGCCAATTGGGAGAGCCTCTCGGGTCGTAAGAGGGCAGATACTGTTCTAATTACCGTGAGAAGCTATCATCTGGCTTTAAGCAGGGAAATGACATCTGATTTACTTGTTAAAAGTGCACTCTGACTGCTGAGTGGAGATTGGGATCCAGGAGCAAGAGTGGAAGCAGAAAGGAAGCTGATGCAGCAGAGAGACGAGGGAGGCCAGGGCCGGGCGGCAGCAGGGGAGTTGAGTGGCCAACACCAGTTGGGACTCAAAGGCAGAGCCATACAGGGATGGGAGGTAACGAGGGTATCGAAGAAGGTGGCTGGATTTTATGCCTGAGCAGCTGAGTCGATGACGGCGCCATTTACTAAGACGGAGAAAACAAAGGAAGAAATTTGGGGTGCAGGGACGGGATGCTGTGGGCCACACGAAAGCATCCATACCCCTTATGGCACTTGTCACTGTGTGCATCTTAGTGCCGCTATCGAACTTCAGCCTGGAAGCTGCCCAAGGGCAGGGTCTGTGCTCACAGTTCATATGGCCTTGTGTCATGTAACATGAACTGTGCACAGCCAGTGTTTGTTAAGTGAGTGAGGTGGTGCCCAAAGGCCAGGCTGTTGGTCCTGCCAGGGCCAGTGGCTCTCCCCAGCAGGTGCCCACATGCAACAAGCTTGCTCCAGCTCTCTCCATGAGGAAACATGCAAAGGCTGTAGACAAGCACTTGCCCAACTCCTAGGAGGTCTAGAGTGGGAAAGTCAATACACTCAGGACTCAGAAAATTTCTTGTTTTCTCCTTTCAGAAGTTTCCTGTAATGCCATGTTGGTAGAGAAAAGCTTTGAAACAGGTAAGAGAGGGGTCTATCCTGGCTTTGCACAAATTCGGGGAGCAGTGAGCCCACAGTAACCCTGCCTGGGTAGGGGAGAGGGAAAGGAGTTTGTGGATCCAGGAATGACGTTGTGCGGAGAGGGAACAGCAGTTCAAGCCCTGCTCAGAGCTTCCTGGGGTCATTCCTGAATCCCCAGGTTCCTCTCATCATCTCTCCATTTTCTTGCCCATTCTGAGTAATTAGAAGATGAGGCTCTAGTTTTTACCCAACCAATGACTCACTTGTAAGCTTCCGTATTCCTCTCAATCACTCCACTGTCGGGAGAGCCAACAAGAGCTTCTGTGTGGCCCATCTGTGAGATTTCTGAGGCGCTTATAGCCCTAAACTAACCAGGTCACCCTGAGGACAGCTGCCCTCCATGGCCAGGGGGTTTTGTCTTCTTTCAAGAAAAGCAGCAGAACTTGTGTAGGTGGTGATCTTCTCTCTCAAGGATCCCCACCACTCCTCCCCACCTCCCTGGGCCCATATTCATTTCCACTTGAGCTGTTTTTAAGAGTCATCCCCTTGTGGTTCAGCCACTGGATTCTCACAAAGGGGCCCAGGCCTAAGGGATTGCAGTAAGTTCTGAGCACCCACCTCCTCTCCATCCCCTGAGGGGCTCAGAAATAAAATAAGTACTAAGTGCAGTTGGTGTTTCCCTTTTGAAATGAAATACTGTTGATCCTAAGGAATGTACAGATATGTTTACGAGGGGATGTGCACAGAAGCTCAAAGGGAAAGGTGGGTCCAGGTGCTGAGCCCATCCCACCCTGCTTTGGGGGAAAGCCAGTGGTATGTCACAGGGTGCTGTGTGGACCTCAGGTGCCCATGCTTATAACTGCTGTGGCCTCTTGTTTTTGCAGATATGAACCTAAACTTCCAAAACTTGTCTGTGATCGGGTTCCGCATCCTGCTCCTGAAAGTGGCCGGCTTTAACCTGCTCATGACCCTGCGGCTGTGGTCCAGCTGAGGTGAGCGGGCCTCTCAGCCAGGAGGTGGGGCTCGAGGGGCTCGGGTGGGTCCCCAAGCCCTGAAAGCAAACCTGCCCCCAGGGTCTTCTTTTTAGGTACTCAGTCTGAGCTCACCAAACTCCTCCATCTTTTCCTGTTAGGAGTTCCTCTTGTTAATAACCACGGCCTGGAACATTTGTGTAACACAATACACTCCTCAGGTGACAACAGTCACAGCAGTTGAGTCGTGTCTCCCCCACAAAGTATGAGCAGTTGTTATTACCCTCATTCTGGAAATGAAGAAACTGAGCCAAGGAACATCAAGAGCCCCACACACTGAGTAAAAAAAATAGAGAAATGCAGGCCCCCGACATGGATTTAAGCCTCTGCTGTCCCTTTTATTTGATCATGCCTTCCGTTGCATCCCTCTCACCGCAAAACCTAATGGGGCTCCCAATTCCTTCCCTCATGTCCTGTGCCGCCAATATAGTGGGAAGATATTACACCCAAAATACACCCTAATCCTGGCTGGAGTCCCCAGCCCTTTCCCCCCAGTGTCCCGGGCATCCTGGGGACCAGCGCATGCCGTTCCACCACCATCAAATAGAACCCAGGGTCCACCGGCTCCTAGAAATTTACAAATGGGGGCATCTCCGTCGCACCCCCAGCTGTCCCGGGGCTGGCTCCTCAGTATCCAGGCTGACTTCTGTCCTTCCTCATCGCAGGCCAGCAAGCGCGTGAGGACCCAGTGCCGTTCACTCCTCGCTGCCCCCGCCCCCCCGTCCCTCGAGCAGAGACACGCTCTCGGCCTCCAAGGAAGACAAGGCTCCCTCCACCTCTCGGCCCCACTGGCCGTGCCTCTCACTGGATCCTGCCAGACACCTGTGACCGAGATGCTGAGAGCTGCCCGACGCTGCAGCCCCTCCTCTGTCCCCCAGTTGCTGCCTGTCACTGCCCGACATTCCCCGCAAAGGCAGGGGCTGCTGCAGCCCCTCCTGGCGGTGGAGACCCCCCTCCGCCCCCCGACTGCCTCTGATGTCCACTGGGTGACGGAGCACCAAGGGGCTCTCTCGGGTTCTAGCTCCTGGAGAATGTGAGGAGCTTATATCTTTAAATAGTGTTCATAAAGAAATACATATCGCCCTTTTCCCCAAAGTGTGGGGGAAGTTAGCTCGTTGTCTGGGCCCTGCTGTGCTGTGTATCTGAGCCACGTTGTATGTTCTGCTGCCCTGGCTTCATTAAAAGTGATTTGGAAGAGCAGAGACTGTCTCCTGTTTGACTGGGTTTGGTCGTGGTCATTTTCAGCTGGCTGTTGATCACTAGCTGGGCAGAAGGAAACCAAGATATTTGTCCATGATGGCATTCAGGGAGCTAACTCCACAAGCTGCTTAAGTCAACCTCTTCCTGGAATAACCTCTAAAAAATTCCACTTTAGAAGGCTGTGCTGGGGGCCGGGCAAACCCACTTAAAAGCTTGGGTCCCTGCTCTTCCGTTTTCATGCCACACCACTGGGCCACTGTGGCAGGAGGCCCGTGGACATGGGTGTAGCTGAAATTTGGCAGACAGGGACCACACAACAAGAATCCCCAAAATGCCGCCCACTGTCTCCTGCCCCCCAGGAACGTTTCCTTTCCTTTCAGACTGTTTCCATAGAAACTGTACATTGCCCCACAAATTCATTGCTGGGGACCACCCACTACTCCACTGCCTGGGTCCCAACCTTGGGGTGTCCAGTCTAGGAGTGGGGGGGACAGATTGTGACCATAGCTGGACTTCATACTCCCACGATCCTAGATGTAAGGATAGGAAAGAGGAGATGAGCTCTCTTCCCTCTAGCCCAGGGACTAGGCCAAGGAGAGTAGATGTCTCAAGCCCTCCCTAGAGGACAGGAGGTGGGATTCCCTGGGGCCCTGGGTAACCCCTGAGCCTCCTGCTGCCTGAGCACCTTTCCTCGAGTCATAGATGCTAATGGACTCCCCTCAGAGGTCACTCAGCCATTCACCTCACAGCTACTGCTGTCAAGACTAAAGCCTAGGGTCGGAGGGCGTCCTATCCCCAAATACCTCTATGGTTCAGCTGCACGTCTCTGACCACATCAGCCAGAAACATGCAAATCCTTCCAGCTACAACTCAGGTCTGCTTCTATTCACAGGGACAGAACCACCAGTTCAGTAAGCTACCTAGGAATACCTCTCCCCTCCATAAGCTCCAGGCCACCACCTGTAAAAAAAATTGTCAGTTGAGACTGGAGGCTGCCTCCAGCTCCATGCATCCCTGATTCCATGGCATCCATGGAACTCAGAACCACCATCCATGTCCTGGCCAGCCCTACTGAGAGTAGTCACAATCCCCGGTTCTCTCTGGGTCGCTTCATCTGCTGCTTAAACACAAGTCCCTTTAAAGGTCAGTAATAGGAAAGGTCTCAGTGGAAATCCCATCACGGAGGCTCACTCACACATCGGAGGACAGGAACTTCCTTCCCAAAAGCAGGACCTGCCACCTGCAGGGAACACAGAGCTGCCTGACACCATCAGAGATTCCACCATTGGGGTTTATTTTAATTCATTCTCTTCCCTATATTAAATAAAAATGTCCCTGGGAGGGTTAATAGAGCAAGTATTTATCAACCGTTAAAAACTTAGCACATGCCTGGCCGGGCGTGGCTTGATGGTTGAGCGTCGACCTAGGATCCAGGCGATTGGGGTTCGATTCCTGGTCAGGGCACATGCCCGGGTTGTGGGCTCAACCCCCAGTCGGGGCGTGCAGGAGGCAGCCGATCAATGACTCTCTCATCATTGATGTTTCTATCTCTCTCTCTTTCCCTCTCCTTTCCTCTCTCTGAAATCAATAAAAATATATTTAAAAAGAAAAAACTTAGTGCAAATTAGTTTGTCTTTTTTTTCTCCTAAAGTGGTAATTCACTTTGGTCTGTATACACAAGATCAAGCAAGGAACAAGGAGGGGGCCAGGGAGGCAGGTCTGCTCCTGAGAGCTGGTTGCAAAGATACTGAGGCTGAAGGGGACACGGGCTTGGGGCAGGGACCCTGGAAGACAGTAAAGGGGCCAAAGATAGACCCCTTCAAGAACACTGGAGGAGGCCCAGACTGAAGGAGGCCAAGGGAGCCTGTGGAGTGGTGCTTCAGAGGACAGGGCCCCATAGTTACTGCACTCCTAAGGCCACCTATGAAGTGATATGGCAGTGACTGGGGACCCACCCAGGCCCTGGAGGGAGTAATGCCTCCTCCTTCGAGGCCTGACCCAAGCTGAGGGTGACAAGGGCTTGGGCAGGTGGGAGTCCATCTGGACATCAAGGTCAGCACTGCCCCCTAAGAACTTTCTATCTCAAACCTGGGCTGAGGTTTCTCAATCCCAGAAGGAACTTCTGAGGCCGTTAAGCCTAAAGCCTATTAAGGCCGAGTCAAAAAGCAGCCCAGGAGCCACTGGGTGTGCTGTAGGGTGGTGCAGAAATACCCCTTTGTCCACTCTGTTCTCACATCTGGCCCAGGCCCCACTGGGGAGGTCAGGGAAATTAAAGTGGCCTTGTGAAGGGGCCCAGGGGAAGGGGCCCTGTGCCCACTACGAGGGTCAGTGCTGTTGCTGGGCCACAGTAGAGCCCCTCATGCAGTAGGGACCAGGCATTGTCCAGCCTAGAGGGAAGGGGTCGCTGACAAATCCTGAAGACATGGTCACCAGGTCCATATGGAGGCCTTGCCATGCAGAGCCCGAGTCCCCGTGAGCAGGAACCAGCTTCAAGGAAGGAAGGCTGCCCTCACGGCCAGCACATCACAAAGGCCAATTACAGAATGGATTTCTCAGGACAGAAGGGCTACTGCCCAAAAAGCTTAACCTCAGGCCAACCCTGGAGGCAAAAGAATGGACCAAATGACTTCTCATGAACTCAAGCCTAAGATTCTAGAGGATTCTCTGACACTTCACCCAGAGACCTGCCCTCTGAATACAGCTGGAATCACAGTCCAGTCAAGAGAAGGGCAGACTAAGCAAGTGTGTGCTCCAGGAATACCTGAGTGACCCTCTGCCGTGACCCACCCTTTACAGATATCACCTTAGTTGTCAGGCAACATCTGGCCAAGAAATGCCGCTCGACTGGGCCCACTCTGGATGGGAAGTGCCCTTGCTCATCCCTCTGTCTGCACCACCAGCACAGCGCCTGGCTCACACCCATGCTAAATATACACTTAACCAGCAAAAGAACAAATAAAGGGTTAGTGTGATTGGGCACTGGGGAGTGAGCCAAGTTGGAGGGGGCGCGGGAAGGGAAAGTGGGATTAATCGAGGAGGTGGCCCGGTGAGCCTCTATTTTACAGTTTTGCCAAGAGCTAAGAGTAACCTGTCAAGAACTATCAGGGAAAGTAAAACTTCAGGGATGGCCCCTTGGCAGTGCAGCCCCACATGGGCACTCATCCAATACGGCTAAAGGATGATGACTCTGGGAAAGCACACCGGGCAGCCAGGGTCAGAGCTCCGGCCACCCAGCATCCACGCCAAGGCCCCGGGCAGAAGGTCCCATTATCATTCCAGCTCTATTATCTTAACACCCCTTCTCGGGGTTACCTCTGGGAGCAACGTGCAGGCCTTCGGGGAGCCAGCTGCTGTCTCTCTGTTAATAGTACGCTGGTTGATGAGAACCCCACTGCGGGACCACAGGGCCCTGCCTCTGTATAAGGCCACCTGGTTTACAGGCCTCATTTCACCCAGACACACATGTGCATGAGGTTTTCTCTGAGTGTCGCATATAGAGCTACATTTTGAAATTAATAAGCAGGTCAGACATTGAGTCAGTAGCCAGAAGTAGGACAGAAAATGAAAAAAAGCCTCCCACTTCCCTCCAGGTGTTTGGGGGCTTGGGGCGGCCCCTTCCCATTTCCATGACGTCATGGTTGCCGAGAGGGGCAAATAGGGCACCCTTTGAAGCTCTCCCGCAAAAGCCACATCCTCTGGAAAGAAGAGTTAAAAATACTGAGTTAGAGATATCATCGCCCTAGGCCACGTGCCGAGGCCA